TTCACAATCACATTCACAATCACATTCACAATCACATTCACAATCACATTCACAATCACATTCACAATCATTTTTCACAATCACATTCACAATCACATTCACAATTACAATCACAATCACAATCAAATTCACAATCACATTCAAATTCACAATCCTGCAAAATGATGAATTCATCGGCTTATCCGCATAGGCTGCCTTCAGATGAAGCACAAAGCTACACTTTCTAATGAGGTGCAACATGATTGGGTTGGTTCAGGTAATATTTCAATCTGAGTTGGTGCCTGTATCTGTCTTGTGTGCCTGTGTTTTCTTGACTCGTTCGCTTGACTATGTTTGTAAGAATGGTACCATTTGCTCTGATGATGTTCGTCCGATAATGGCGCAATAAAACTTTGCCGGTTTTCGCCGGAATCGAAGCGGATTGCCTCGGAAACAGCTTCACCAAGAATGTTCCAGTAAAGCCCATCGACTACTGGCCAAGAGCAATCCGTTGGTCGTCGTCGTCGTCGTCGTCGTCTTTTCGTATCCAACTTGGTTCACCATCCGATACATGTCGGCCAATTCGACCATGGCAACATGGCCGCTAGCAACGAGTGCTCACGTCGCGGGCTTGAATCCGGTGCGAGGCGGTGCAGGCTGCTGTCGAGTTGAGTCGCACCGAGGCGAGGGAGAGAAGTAATAAGAGAGAGAGAGAGAAAGAGAGAGAAAGAGAGTCTAATGCAATTTTGAGGCCTGACCTTGAAATAGTCTCGTAAGCAGAATGTTGCCTACGTTGGGTTGATTTCGTGCAACAAAAAAAGGCGTCAGTGTCATCTTGACCTCTCGGAAAGAGCGTCGTCCAACTCTGCGGCTGTCTCTGTTTGCCTGTTTGACGGACAAAGCTTCGGTCGTTGTCACTGCGACCTAAACGAGATGATGTCTTGTTGCCTCTGCGCTTGGGGGAGCACCAGATGACGCCGAAAGCAACACGAGTCCCTTCAGTGCACGCACACACACACACACACACACACACATCCACGAATATAATCGGTTGTGCGTGTGTACGCTTTTTTTAAGTTAGAAACGTCAGTCGTGTCTGGTAAACCTGGTTAATAAAAGGATGAGTTCAAGTAAAAATGTGATCCACTCCAGTTTCTTCCCATTCT